ATGGGTTGGAAAGATTGGCAGGTGTCGATTTGGTGATTAGAATCAACCAAATGTGCTAACACGGTGCTCATCAGCGTTTTTCTTCTACCATTGCGTAGATTAGCTGGACAATGCTCACGTCTCTCTCAGACAGCCTCCTAGTAGCTCTTCCGATGTATCTTGCTCGACATGAACAAGAGAAGGATATACATAGTAAGAAGCACATGACCAAAGAAGTCTGTCTTTGAGCTGAGGCCTCACGATGGGTGTTGAAGTAAAACTTATCCGCAACCTCGCTGCGCAGTAGGTATGGCTCATAGCTTCGGATAACCTAGATGTTGCCTGCGCTATACCATTCCCCTTGAACCGCAACGACAAATAAACCGGTTGCTTTTCCACCGAATCTGATTTAGCTCTCCTTTCCCTGCACTCAATATATTTCCGGATAGCCATTTCTCTCGAAAACGCCACTTAAGAAACTGAGCTCGTCCGCAAGTGTGTCCTCACTACAAATCCTCCTGGCCCTTTCGGTTAGACATCTAACCAAGTTGCGTTTCTGATTTATTGGGACAAAACCGGCAAATGTATATATTGTTCGTTCCAAGTTACTTTTCTATGTACCCTCCGTTGGTCTTCTACTAAGGTGAACGTCTAAGAACGACATTGTGTCATTGCCTTCAGTTTCTAGAGTGAACCTGGCATTAGGGTGCGCTGAATTAAAATGGGGTAAAATTGTCTCTGGGCAACAGTGGCTGTCTGTTATGCAAAATATATCATCAACATATCGTCCGTAATATGGTGGACCGGTAATGACTCCTCTCATATAGGTATTCACTAATTTGCACATGAACACATCAGTTAGTAGCGGTAAAGCCGTGAGCCCATTGATATTCCATCTTTTTGTCTGTATATGGCCCCGTTAAACTGAAATTGTATGTTACTAGTACACAGCAAGAGCAGCTGTTTCAATCGATCATTTGAAAGGCCGACACCCAAATGATGGTCTCGAACGGTGTCACATCTATAGTCTATTGTCTCTTCTAACGGAATATTGGTGAAGAGCGACACCACATCCAACGAAAACATCTTTCTTCCGGTTAGCTGAAGCTGTCTTGTGGAGTCTAAGAAACTGAATGTGTTTCGTAGGCTGTACCTGGACATAATATTTCTCATCGGCTCTAAAAGCTTAGGTAACCACTTGGTTGTTGCTTGACACGGTGAAATGCACGTCTAATATGGGCCTTAGTAGAAGTCCTTCCTTATGCACCTTCGGTAAGTCGTAGTCTCGGGATCACCGTCCCAGTGGGACGAATGCATTCGAACCTGGCGGAGACAATCATGCTTTCCTGTTTCAAGCGCCGTAGAAGCTTAGTATCTGTCCTTTCTATTGCTGCAGTTTTATCCTTCTCATTCTCCATTTTCCGGAACTTCGAGCGGCCGCTAAGGATGGCGTTCAACTTGTCGATGTAATCAGCTTTCTATCAATACAACCCCTGCCCCCATATCCGGCCTTTCTACTTTTGTTTGAGAGCATCTAGGTGGTCTTTTTTCAGTAAATGTCTAAGTTTAGGTTTGTACTTCAGATATTGGTAACAAGTATTGACGAGGGTAGACTTAAAATGCTCAGACGCTAATGCTTGTCAGTATTAGCATTTTCATTCCAATGACCATGAACTTTGAACCTACCATTATCTGATGTTTAATGTTAATCTTATTAATATCAGATGTGGTCTTTTAGCCTGACGAGAGCCAATGAAAAGGAGCTTCTTCGCTAACTTGTTGTTCTGATGTCCACGCCTGGGATACTTTTTCACCTAAAAATTGAAAACAATAAAGAGACTGGACCATCAGCTCAGGAATGATCGAAGGATAGATGAAACTACTACTGCTACGACTACAACAACAACAACTACTACTACTACTATTACCACTACTAATACTGCTACTACTACTACTACCACTATTATTATTATTTTAAAAATAATAATAATGTGTCAGCTATATGCCGTAATGGCGTTTCGCTGCCGTCGCACGCAGGCTACACCGCGAGGACGCGAACCCTCATGCGGATTCGAACCCGCGCCGCAAGGTTACGAGACAAGCTGGTTACCTGTAGGTTACGGGCCGACGATTAGCAAGGATTTTTTTATCCGGTTTCATGTTTATTCAGTGTTCGGCGTCCTGACGATTGTGTTCCACAAGCAGAAGCTCAGTGTCACATGCATACGGCGGCAAAATGTTTATTCAGGCGAAATTTGTATTTAGAGTGCCGTAAACTCAGCAGGCAGGGTTTATTGGTAGGCTTATCTATTCGTGGGTTGGGATAACAGTCGTAAATCGAGGGGGCCGTTCGCTAGGTATTTGTCCAAAAATGAAGGAAAACTGGTAGCATGCGAAGGCATGATCAGAACCAGTGCATAGGCTATGAACATTGAGCAGTAAACAAGGATAGAACACGCACCTGAAACCTACGGTAACGTTGTCTAACTCGACCGATCACTGATTAGCTATCAGAGGACGGTAGGTGAGGCATCAGCGCCCACTGTGCTGAAAGACAATGACATTTAAAAATGACCGACATGTAATTACGGTGAACATTCGCCACTGTGTGTGCGACCGGTGGGCTAATACGATACTAGCAACTAGAACCATGCCTGGGTTGGTCGCACTACGCGATATTGTACTAAATTCGTGGTAAAGGTCCTCAACAACATTGGGATTGTAGTCAGTCTTAGCACGCGCAGCAATCACACGCAAACAGTGCCTGGTGATGTTCCGTGAACTAGCCTTGGATGCCGTCGTCGAAGAGGCGCACATGCGGCTGCCATGGTGATAAGAATAAGCTAACGAAGATTCAAGTCTGGCCTGTGGTTGTTGCGTCAGCATTCCCGGGCACGTACATCCAATAGGAAGAACATAAGCTAGACACAGTTAGTTAGTAAAAGTGTAAGCTGTGGATTCCACTCTAGAAGACAGTACAAGTCAACTGTGATAATATTGTGTGTTTCCCATCGGGAATAGTAGTCCGATCTGTCATAGTATACCGACGCTGAATGAATTGAAGGGAGTCGGGCAGCGCATCCTGTTAAGGGGATTAATGGTTGGAGAGCGCTTGGTACTGGTGGTATCTGCATCCGAAGGGTAAATATTCATCAGGACTGTAGTGGAAGCTCCCATGTTGGGATCTAATAAAGGAAGACCAATAATGGAGATTGGAGTCCAAATAAAAGAACAAACGCATTCTCGACTATGCGGGAGGAGCAAGAAAGGCAGCAGCCGGAGTTCACTTACCCATCCTACCTAGTCGATTCGTGTGAAGGAGATGCGATGGACTTTCTTGTTTGACAACGGGTGTTTGCACAAAATAGCTAGTATGTGGTGAGAACACCACGCCTGCAATGACCATCTTAAATATTGTGTGTTAGGTAACAGACCCGTGGCGGAGCTGTAGGCTATCGGGCACGGCTCCAGTTGCGGATCGGGGAATGCCTTCCTTGTGGAGGTAACTGCGAATAAGTCTCTTTTGCTTTGCAGGTGAGATGAATAAGCAGTCGCGGACAATCAGCGGCAGCGTCTCAGAGCGTGGGGAGTTCTGGGCTGGTCACTTGGTTCTCCATTAAATAGCACAAGTGCTCGTACGGTGCTGTGTCAAAGCCAATGTGACCGGCCATAGGGTCATTGACCACTCACTCCTGTAACTGGGGGTGAGTATCTAACGGAGGGCGGATGAACAACCTCGCTGGCCACCGGCACCTCTGTGAACTGCTTCTTAACACAAAGAGGGCGAATGAGCCACTTGGCTGTCAACAAGCTTCGTGAATCACCCAGCTGCCTTGCAGGTCAGGTCTTTAGACCAAAGGCTCGGGGTGGGGTCCCTTAAGTCAACCCTCTTCCTCGACCTGGGCAGCCGGGAAGCTCAATGCCCACAAAACACATGGAAATTTGCTTCCAGGCCTCTTACTCACTCTCCTTTTTGTTATTGTTACTCATGTGTTGTGGCACCCTGCCAAATGTTTATTGGGCAAGTGTTAAATACAATAAATATTAGGTGACAGGACTTTCAAATCGACAAGTTAGTATCACTGCCCTCATTAAGATGGCTTAGTCACGTCCAACGCGGACCATGCTAGGTTTATCCGATCACACAGGACTGCAGTGCAATAAATCTAGCGGTGGTCAGCGTACCACATGGAGGCAAAACATCAAAGCGTTAAGTTCCAATCTAGTCATCCTCAGTCCCGTGCGTCATCCGGGCTGGAAAAACAAGGATAGAGAACACCGCTGGCTAGATACCTCCGAGGCGCGCAGGCAGCCTGTGGAAAATATCCGTAAATTCACGCCTGCAATCAGTAAAGTACAAAACACAGAACAGCGTGAAAAAAAGACGTCACATCTCCGCTTCTCTGTGTGATTTTCGTAATTATAAAGAACATTTACTCCTAGGATTTTTGTAATTCTACGGATATACTGTTGATAGTTGCCATTGTAAATACTTATCGTTCTGTAGGGAGGATACTGCGATCAAATCGAAAGAGCTAACCGATGAAAGCTGAGGCCCAAGTCAGATAAAACAGGCACGGTTGTGTATGGCCTGGTATTGCCAAGAAGCCCAAAAGGAGAATGAGTGGACAATACCATTGTAAAACGAAAATGTATACGAGCGGTGGACTCATTGGAAAAGAGCCCGATAAGATAGGATCAAAGGTCAGGTGGCGAGAAAACTAACTCAAAATTTGCATTGGCAATAAGATTGGCAGCGTTGACCCGACGAATAACATGCATGCGAGCCCTGCCAAACGGAGAAGTGCAACTAAAACTGCAGACATTAACCGAACCTAACAGTTGACATGACATAGGGCAGATAACAGGGTTGTGAGATAAAGAATAAAATATGGAACGCGATATCAAACTGCCAGTTTAACCAACTATGGCCGTAGAGTGATACAATGAGCATATGATAAGAAAAAAAGTAGACATCGATCCCACGGAATCTAGATGTACATTTGGTGACAATGACTCACTTATCTAAGTTGATGTGAGAAGTAGGTAAGTCAGCTGGTGATGTGGGCATAAGTGGTTCGGCGATGCGCGTTTTCTCAGCTGAATCGTGTGCGGCGCAAAAATCATTCGCGTCTCCTCGGTCACTTTTCTTACGCCGTCTTCTTTGTTCATGAGGGTTAGGATCCCCATCCCGCTTTACATACGGAAAGGCTTTGGATAGCCAACTGCAAAGCGTTAGAACTTCTTGCTGACCAGTAAGAAAGACGAGGATACCACCAGGTGGATTTGATTGATGTAGTTGAACTACCTGAATGATAAAAAGATGAAGATTAGTCGTACTAACAAGTGCTGTTAGAGACGGAGAAAACTGAAAACTGAAAGACTGGTGAAACAGGGACGAAAGTGCATAATCAACAAACGGTTAGCCAAGCGGAAGTTTCTTGAAAGTGTCCGATGTGGTTTATCCACATGTAGAACCTAATGACGAATCGCTTCGGTTGAAGAAATGGATGGTCAAGCCAGAGAGTACCAAATCAAACCACGCTTGTCACACAAGAGAACATACGCCATTGCGCCCCAGTTCATGTAGACAAAAGATATCGGTGGTAAATGCGGGACAGTAACAGCTTACGATTCGTACAATCAAAAACAGTGGTTAGCGAGTACGCCACTGACGAGAAGCATGAGTGGGAGCAAGCTCAAGTAAGATAAGTAATGACAAAGCAATCGATAACCGGAATGTCTCGGTCCTGCTCTCTCAACATTCCGTGAGTGGTTTCGTCCAAACGTTTCACTTCTAAGATGGAGATGGTTGGCGGCATCCGGTTCCGGATTTGACTTTCACTGTGGCCAGCCACAAGACGCCTGCGCCTACAGAGGGACCATGGGTGGCTTGCACTGCACCACCCACAGATCCAACCACACACCCCATATCCAGTGTAAACCCAAAGGAATAAGACCGGGACGCATGTGGATGAGAGCCACGTTTCATCAACGGAGCCGGCACACACTCCTTCACAGGCATACACAAGCACGCTGTATTTGGGAATCAATCGCACACAATGCGGTGGTTGGACCGTAGTCCGCTCCACATTGAGTGCATGGAACCACTCTTTGATCCTAACACGGCCACAAGGACCGTGCATCCCATCCCCTCCAGCAACGACCAACTGTCTCCTGGAGCCAGTGTGGACGAGGTAGTGGGTAATAGACAGGTAGGCACCCTGTCAACATACACATCAAGCGCAGCCACACCGGGGATATCAAACAAAAGGCAATCACTCGAAACGACAAGATAAAATAAAATAAATCAGATAATGCATACAGATATGAAGACATAACTCTTCATTAATTAGGCGTATTAAAAAAACATTGATTAAGAACGAATCCGAGAAAGGTTCAAGAGATCAGAAATGATATTTTAATAAAATGTCACAAACGCGAAAATGTTACTGAAATTAAGTACAATTAGATTCAGTGACGTGTGCAAGTTTAAAGATAGTAAAGACAGAGATTATTATGAGAAAGAAAAGCATTAGGACAAAATTGCAAACCCACCACCTGAAATAAATAGACTTAGCATGCAAGCACGCAGTTACTGAATCGAATGCAGCGTGCCTACAAACGCTGCGCCGGTTCTGCCTACATTCTCTCCAGGACCTGTCTTCGCTTCGGTTTTGGTCCAGAGTGGCCTCGCTCATGACTTACAAAGCCTGCCTCACTCAGGCACTCGCGACTGAATGTGCTACAGCACAATGCGCTCGATGTCGATGGAGTACAACCCATCGGCGCCAGTCACTTCCGCACTTGCCACTTCTTCTCTGCATTTACAAGGTCTTTCTCCCGCACTTTGGCAACTGCCTTCGTAATCAAATCGCGCCATGCACACCGATTAACGGCCTTCCATACCCAAGACCTACGATCAAGATTACAACGTGAGGCTCAATTTGATCATGTCCTGGTAACGTAACTTTGGTTTCCCCACATGCAGCTTCCCAATACTCAGCTGACCATATAATAGTGGTTTCGGTATCCACGTCGAATCCATACGGCTCACATGACCGAGCCACCTCAGGTGTCTCAGCAAAAGTATGCAGTCCACTGCATACATCCCACTTCGGTGCAACACTTCCGTGTCTGCAACTCTGTCGCCCCAACTGATGCGCAAAATTCGTCGCAGACACTGCTGATGGAAATGCTCGAGATATCGCACATCTCGCCGGTACATCGTCCACGTTTCACTGCCGTATAGAAGAGCGGACAGCACTATGGATTTGTACACCATCAGCATCGCACCAACAGTAAGCTGATGGTTGTTCCACACTCGGTACTCAAGCTTCCCGAATGCCGCCAATGCCTTCGAGACGCGGATATGCAGCTCATTGTGTAGCTGCTGGTCAGTCGACATCACACTCCAAAGGTAGCTGAAGCAAGAGGTGATTTCCAATACTTCAGCACCAATGCTGATTCGCGGCAATATTGAAGATTGCACCTTCGGTGAAGGCTGAAAGAGACAGAGTTTTGCTTGTGTTGATGGTGAGACCGAAGTTGGCCGCTGTCGAAGCCAGAGCACTAGTCGAATGCTGAAAATCATCTGCGCTGTGCGCAAACTACGTACGGTCGTCAGTGAACAGCAACATACGGATAGTTGCCTCACAGACTAGAGTTCTCGCACCGAAACGACGGAAGTTCAGCAAACCACCATCAATACGGTGCTCCACACGAACATCGTAAGCACAAGCGGCATAAAAAGCACACGACATCATTGCATGAAGATAAATATTAAACAAGACAGGAGATAAGACACAGTCTTGATTCACACCAGAGACAACTGCACAGTCATCCCAGGTTTCTCCACTCAGCTGCACCCTCGCCGGCATACCACTGCGCAGACATTCAATTAAACATACAAACTTACGCAGGCAAGCAAACTTACCCAACAACAGCCATAATGCCTCGCGGTTCACCGTATTAAATGCGTTGGTGAAATCAACAAAAAGCGAGTACAATTGTTGGTGTCGTCCTGCACTTCTCCTGCAACTGACGAGCCGCAAACAACACATCTATAGTGTTGCGACCCGAACGGAATCCACATTGCTCTTCCGCCACGTTAGGTTCCACAAACTGACTGACGAGGCAGTCGAGCAAGATTAAGGCAATCACCTTGTAAACACAACTCAGCAAATTGATAACACGATAATTCGTGTGACATTGCTTGCTCCCTTTGCCCTTATACAGTGGTAGCACAAAGGCATCCTTCAGCTCAGTAGGCACCTCCTCCTCAATCCATACGCGTTGCAACAAGTGGTGCAGTGCAGTCACCAAAGCAAGGCCCGCCGTGTTTCAATACATTAGGCAGGATCCCATCGGCACCGGTACATTGCCCGTTTCGCAGCTCAGCAAGCGCTTTCTGCGTCTCATGCAGTGTCGGCGCAACCGCCAGACTCGCCTTCACATCGTGCTGCTTGAGGCCGTTCAATGTACGCCAGTCGATCTCGAAACGGTTGTTCAAGAGACAGTCAAAGTGTTTTAGCCAGATCTACATTACGTCTGCAGTCTGTGTGCAGGTAGCGCCGGAAGCGCTATCGATCAGCGTCCTGAGCGGCTCCAATCTCGGTGCATATACCGACTGCAAGGAGTCAAAGAATTCCTTGTGTTGGCGGCGCTCGGCGTAGCATTTCATCTGCTTCGATTTCTCCGTCCACCATGCATTTCTAATGCGACGGACCTCTCGAATCAGTCGCCGAGGGATTCTGAGAAACTGACTATTCTTCCCACAGTCACTGGGGTCTGCCACATGTGCAGCAAATGCTGCATTCTTCTCCGACACCAATACGCCAATCGTAGCCTTGTTCTCATCAAATCAATCAGGCCGCTTAAAGTTTGCGCGCCCGATTGTTTTCACAGCAGGAGTTGTCACCTGGTCGCGAATGTGGTGCCACAGGTCGCCCACTGTGGCTATGCAGTCCACATCACATATGCCTGCAGCTATCGCCTTCACCAGCTCAATACGTTTCGCCACAGTACCGAGGGAGAAAGTTACATTTACGCCGATTCACGGTGAGAGTGCAATACGTTAAGTTGCGAAAATATATGTACAGTTTGGTCCGCACCAATTTGTGATCAGTGCCACAGCTCCACGCAGCACACGTGTCATGCGCACTTCACGCATATTACGCTGACGTACGATGACTTAGTCGAGCAGGTGAGGGTGACCACTCAGTGGGTGCGTCCAAGTTGCTATATCACTCATACTCAGTGCAAACCGAGTACTCGTGATCGTCAGGCCGTGAGAGCATCCTGTCACCCTTCGCATTCGCTGGACCAATGCAATGCGGACCGATAACATCTGTCCACACCGATGCATCACGCCGAACGCGCGCGTTGAAATCACCCAGCAGGAATAGTCGCTCGCTCCTCGGCACAGACCGTATCACGGAGGATAGCTGAGTGTAGAATTGGGCACGGATGTCATCAGGATAACACATGGTCGGACCGCACGTGCTTATAAAGGCGGCAAACTTAACTCTTCCGAGTCGAAAGCGAACAGTTATCAGTCCCGCGCGGATGCATGTTGGTTCACCCACGAGCTGGCCATGGAGACGATCGGATATTAAAAATCCGAACCCATGATCACGTGGTGCTGAGGCGGCGTTTCCCACCCAGCAGAATGTGTAGCCAGCACCTGCTTCATGCAACTTACATTGCTCAGCGAGCCGGGTTTCCCTGAGCGCCGCAATATCGATGTTGTACCGCGCCAATTCTATCGCGACCAGTGCAGTGCGTCGCTCGGGGCACTCACTCAAGTTCCGGTCCAGTAGTGGGCGCACGTTCCAGCATTCGATGCTGAGTGCTTTGCGCGCAGGCATACGGTTGCATTGGTGGGCAATCGAACGCAAGTTGGTGGTTGTGCTTCGGAGGTTTGCACGAGGGACTCCACCCGGAGCCTTTGGCTCAATAGCCTGACACACAAAGCAGTGGGGAGCAGATCCAGCTCGGAAATGTGATTGCTGAGACAGATTGCGATTTGCCTGAGGTCCGTCACACGCAGCCTTTGAGGTACTGGAACGATTCATATAGGTTTTACGACCGTAGTAGGATATGCACCTGCGACCACGGCCAGACGCAGGAGGGTTTTAGCGGGTTTGCATTAATTTGACCAGGGCCTGTCTGGCTTGAGGCGGGCAGTAACAAACCAGTGAACACCCACAAGTGCCCTCCCACTGTCACAGAGGATGCGTGACGCTCGTGCTCTACGCCAATCGAGCTGTGAGCTTATAACCCGTAGACCAGTTGTCCCCCACGCCTAGGTTTTACGGGAAGAGGGCCATCGACCAGTTCCTAACTTCCGAAGAGGATGGACCAGGATACTGGCAGGGTGTCCATACCTGACAGGAGAACGACTTGGGTCCCCAGCCAAAGTTTCCGATTAAATGTACATCCGAACGACAGCGGGTCTAGCACATGGTCAGTTGACTGATTCTCGCCGAGTGGTGTAATAGATCGTAGCAGTGAGAAGGGCGCAAACCAACTCCCACCAAGTGATCGCCCGCAGGAGGTGTCCAGGACATGAGTCAATGGCACAATTGTAGCAGCAGTGGGTAGACCATCTGTCAGAATTAAGCCTCCACCAGCCTCAGCGCATCATAGGCTCTAGTCCTGTCACTTTATTTCAAGTGGTGGGTTTGCAATTTTGTCTTTATGCTTTCTTTCTCATATTAATCTCTAACTGTACTATCTTCTGTAAACTTGCACACGTTGCTGAAACCAATTGTAGTTAATTTCGATAACATATTTGCTTTTGGGGCATTTCCTTAAAAGATATTTTCTGGTCTCTTGAACATATCGCGGATTTGTTCGTAATCAATTTCTTTCATACGCTCATTTAGCGAAGAGTTATACCGCCGTACCTGTATGCATTATCCAAAATGTTTTATTTTGTCGTTTCAAGTGATTGCCTTTTGTTTGATATCCCCGGTGTGGCTGCGCTTGATATGCATGTTGACAAGGTGCCTACCTGTCTATTACCCACTACCTCGTCCATACTGGCTCTAGGAGACAGTTTGTCGTTGCTGGAGGGAATGGGATGCACGGTCCTTGTGGTTGTGTTAGGATCAAAGAGTGGTTCCATGCACTCAATGTGGAGCGGACTGCGGTCCAACTACCGCATTGTGTGCGATTGATTCCCAAATACAGCGTGCTTGTGTTTGCCTGTGAAGAAGTGTGTGCTGGCTCCGTTGATGAAACGTGGCTTCCATCCACATGCGTCCCGGTCTTATTCCTTTGGGTTTACACTGGATATGGGGTGTGTGGTTGGATCTGTGGGTGGTGCAGTGCAAGCCACCCATGGTCCCTCTGTAGGCGCAAGCGTCTTGTGGCTGGCCACAGTGAAAGTCAAATCCGAAACCGGATGTTGCCAACTATATATATATATATATATATATATATATATATATATATATATATATATATATATATATGCAATAAGCGGAGTTCCTGTCAGATTTCCTTGTGAGAGGGAACATCTGTGGCCTCAGACAATTTAGCACCAGTGCGCGTTCCACCGGAAGCAAATGGGGCTGGTGACCAGCGAAACTGTGAGACAAAATGTTCATCCCTTAGTTTTAAGCGCCGTTGAAGCTGGCTTACCGGACAACCTCCTTGTGGCGCCAGCTGAGTGGTTCTGAGTCATCCCGCTCCAGGAAATGGTTCGGCGGCGGTGTCCTAGAACGTGGTGGGAAGTGTTCTCCCCATAAAAGGCCACATAAGTCTGCTTAACAACAATGTTCGTCACACTGCCGGCAAGCGGATGGTGGTTTTGCTGCGACAGGCACTGCCATTCCGGGGGAGGGGGGAGTTGTCTGGAGCTAGTCTTTGTGATATTGAAAGTGGAGTTGGATGATGAACGGTCCAACATAGCTGTGTCGTGCTTGAGATTTATCAAAATCTGACACTCATAGGTTATCAGCTGTAGTGCAACATCAAGAGACATCTCAATCTTGATCAATAGCCTGGTCTTGATATCAATTTCAGAGTGTGACTGGAGACAGAATGAAATTCAGACACTTGAATTGATCTGCTATCACAGTAGACAACTTGAACTGTTCACACACGTAATTGACTCTACCAGTATGAGTGACGAAATCCTCGCCCTCCTCTTTGGCTAGATCCATGCACGGATATCGAGTTTTAGACAAAGAGGAGTGCCCACCGAAAAGTTCTGAGGGTTAGTGGACGGGTTCGTTAAAAGTGAGATCCATGGCGTTCCTTGGCAGAATAAAAGATGTTATCGGATGTGCCCTGCTGTACCAAGCTTACTCAGCAAGAGCCAGACTCATCATGCGTCATCCTTAACCTTCCGTACGATTTGGAACATGTCTCCATATCGTTTGAACTATTACCCAAAAATCAACACAGCAGCAAGTTTATAGTGGAACTCCATGATACTCTTTTCAATTGCTTCGGCTGAATTTTGTTCCGGGAAATGATGACTTAATGCTGAACTGCTGCATCAAGTTGTCCATTATTCGCATCGGGACAGCCACGAACTGAGTTTGTTGTTGGTGCAGGATTGCCTTACACTCCTTTACAGTTATTGACATATTGAGTGAGTTTCCAGCGACAAATCTGTTGTGTCGGACGCTGCTAGAGTAGACAGAAGGCTAATCCTCAGTTAGAAAAAACGAGCAGAGCGAGTATGCGGCAAAACGCGAACAGGACGTGAGTTAAATTACACTGTACAGTTTGCGCTGAGTATCGTTCGATCGATCAATGGGAGTTGATTTCAAACCAACACTATGCTGATCGATATTGTTCCGGTGCATTGAAATGTAACTGTTGGTCTTCGGGGCAGATGACTGAATGACCACGATTCGCGAGCTCCACTGGCCTGCGCTCGAGGAAACGAACCCTCCAAGCAACTTCATCAAACCGACATTTCAACCGGATCCTGACGGTGTTCCTCTTGCAGCTATAAGGTTCGGTGGCCAAAATCCACCATACTCATGTTGAACATTTTGAATGGAAAAATTCCATAATAATTCCGGAACACAAAAGCGGTCAAGGAGAGCAGATGGCAAACTAACGACCGATAAACTATACTTCCGCCGTCACTAAGGCCCACGATCCTACAAGAATCGGACAACTAAGATTTTGACTAGAAAAAACCTACTCGGCAGTTCAAAACACCGGTTTACTACAAAACGTTCCTGTGTCACACGCCAAGTACTATGCCCTGCTTATGTTACAGCAACAATTGATGGTGGTATGATCTTCATCAACCTACTGTATGTGCAAAAAGCGTTCGAATGTATGCCGCACAAACCACCGTTGGCCGCGCTTGAGTTCAATCGGATCAGCAATCATTTACTGAAATGTTTCGACTCATATCTGAACAACCGAACACAGAGTACAGATCAGAGAGATAAGTCAACAGATAGGTCAACACTGTTCTGCTCCCAGAAATGTCGCTAGTCATGTCGTGCACGGCAGTGTATTGGGCTTATGGCTTTTCTTCATTTACATAACCCACAGATGTGGTTACATTAGACACGAGTGCCAATTTTTATTTGCGGACGACATCAAACTAATGTGGACACTTCTACCTGGCCATCCAAAACTATACATGAAAACATACGCGAATATCTATCATCCCTAAACAAATAGAACGAAAGCAGGTCAATGAGGTTTTCAGCAGACAAATCTCAGATACTCTGCCACATATGGAGATAACAGGAGGATTCATAACTTAGTGATAGTGTCATCCTAACCATGTTCTCAGGTTGAGACTTGGGAAATTGATATTCTAGCAGTTGAAACTTCTACGAATATATTCCACAACAAATAGCGAAAGCAAAACAAATAATAAACGTCACTAAGTCATTTTCACCATTCTAAACGGCCTTAATCAACCCACACTAGAGTACTGCACCATAATACACAGTCACGCTAGCGAGACACATAGAATTGCTTTGGAAAACGTCCAGCGATTATTTGCCAAAATGATCATCAACGCTTACTTATGGGAAACGATGTTCTTCCCTCCAGTTCTACCGAATCTGGCTTTGACGATTGAAAAGCAATCTTAATATTCTTCATAGTATAAAATATTCCCGAGTATTCTCAACCAGTATGGATATCGCTTTGTAAAATAGTTCAACCTATACCACTCGTAATGGGAACTATCTATAATTCATCCAGAAGACCAAGCCAAAGATTCTTGGTGAGGTACGCTTATCTGTGGAACAAACTACCGTTGCAAGTAAGGACCAGCGAAAATCTTGGATCGCATCTAAATGCTTTTCTTTCCATGCCAAATGTGGTCAAACTTCTCGACTTTCAGCAATTTACGAGGGAAATGATGGAATCCGGACCGAAAAATATATGACAATTAGCTTTCCAATAATGGTACTTATTACATAGTCCACAAAACATCACATCAATGGTCACTCATGAGTGAAATGCTGATGAAACTCGCTGTACAAGTGATCGTTCCACAAAGTGGAAGTATCCCAGTCGTCGGGAAATACATACCTTTATTTATTTATTTATAAGTGAGAACAAAACGACTGGTGATGTTAAAATCCGGTTTTCACATAGGTGAAAAAGACATATAGAGCGCTTAAACCAATGGGAAGATGAAATTCACGCAGAACTCATATAACAGTGGTGATCCTATGACGGAAGCATGTGGAATATAAAAAGGTCTGTAAAGTAGCGCACGTTAATTTTGCGTGGTGACTAACTAACCTTGCGAAAGGCGGCTCTCAAGTAGTTATCGTGTGTGACCTTGGCAAAATGGCAAGTGACCGGAAACTGTCTTGATTCCACATGAATGACAGGAGGTGGACCAGAAGAGGCTCTAGGGAACAACCGGTGGTTTTCTGAGAAATCCGTCACTCTTAGTGTAGCCGACATGATAATAAGCTTGAGAGGTGGCAAAACACTGCCTCGTATTTGCTGTCCTTCAGTGTATCGCTTCCGACGAAGACGTATGATCATCGAGATCAGACCCAACAGAACGTCGGTGTAGATGGAGCGCTCATGTGCTTCATCTATGATGATGACGGAGTATCTAGATAACTCAAAATCCTGAAAAAGAAGAGTGAAGAGTGCATGACAAGTGTGGCAAAATTGAGAAAGGGGTTACACTGTTACAGGTAAGAACAGAGCCTTGGTTCCAACAATATTCCAATTATAATGGTCAACGTAAGGTGAGTCTGCATGTCGAAAACTGAATGCAAACGAAATAATGGTATCAGGAGTTGCATGGCAGTTGTGCGGACGTTGTGGGAGTTCACGTGGGCCAACTTTACGTCACCTCAGATTAGTCGGATCACACTTTGACCGTGAACCGTAGTTGTGTGCTGTCTTGGATTGACAATGTGTATTTGCAGGAAGGAATTTAGATTCTGACAGTAATAAGGAAGATATCAAGAAATGGAAAAAGTTAAAAAGAAAATATGTTATCATAGTGAGGTAATGCTCTCCTTTGGAAGCGTTAACCAGTAGACGGCTCACAGCAGAATAGAAGGGTCATGGAGACCTAAAATGGCTATGGTGTTATCTAATCATCATATGACAGAACTCGGGAGATGATTAGGTTAAGTGTCTAGACTGAAGGGCCAAATTGTAGCGAGTAGTGCATACGGATGAACGCGTAAGCCACAATACACATATGCTGCGGAGCTGGCATAACCGCGAAAATTACGCAGAGCTCGGCTCGGAAATACCATCGTTAGACGGTGAAGCTGTGTGGGTAACAGCTGAGCATTCCTCAAGGAAACCGCTGTTACGTGGTAACGCAAAATGCATTGAATTCATCTAAGCCTACCCCAGTGACCCTGCTATAGCTGTCGTCTCAAGCCGCAGCGACCCAAATGATGTACAAACCGCCTCTATCAAAAAGGACCTTATTGTATACTTTATGCATTGCGTTGCCATGCTATTGGGGAATAAAGGGATAGAGCAGAGATGTCCAAAGTCCAACCCGCGTAAACATTTCAAGTGGCCCGCGGCCTCCTAATGAAATAATGAATCCAAGCTTGGATTTTTGCCGCACAGACGACATTATGTAGACCACAATAAATTAAGGAAGTTATGAGTCCAAAATTCAACGGTGTGAGATGCTTGCGAAAAGTAATGGAGTATTGTCTATTTTTAACCAACTAGAAAAAGCCTATCTGGTGCTTTTACTAAAGGTGTCTTAACTAAATCAAAGCTTTATATATATATATATATGTTTATATATATTTTTGTGGAATCAAATAATCAGAAAGGTGGAGCTGTTGTCCAATGAACTACTTTAAAGCAAATTATAGCACAACGAAAATTTAGAGACTGATCTACCCTATAAAACAAAAATCCCACTCTCCCAACGGGCTAGTTTTATCTAGTCATATATATATATATGTAAATTTCATATGCATAAATTTCATTCCAGTTCATCTGGTTTGTTTTGCATATCTGGATAGTCTTCTATTAGCTGGTCTCGTTGTTTACGCTAATTACGCTTATCTTCGGTAATTTTGTTGCGTTTGTAGCATTTTTGAGTAACTTGTGCACATTCTTTTTCCTTATCGCGGATTCATTGCTAACCAAATTATTTCATATGCTAATTTAACGAGGAGTTGTGCCACCGTATCTGTATGCATTATTGGATTTATTTTATTTCATTTTGTCGTTTCAAGTGATTTGCTGTTGTTTGATATCCCTGGTATGGTTGCGCTTGATGTGTATGTCGACAAGGTGCCTACCTGTCTATTACCCACTACATCGTTCATACTGGCTCCAGGAGACAGTTGGTCGTTGCTGGAGGGGACGGAGTGCAAAGTTCTTATGGCCGTGCTTGGCTCGAAGAGTGGTTCCATGCAGTCAGCGTGGAGCGGACTACGGTCCAGCCACCGACTTGTGTGCGCTTGATTTCCCAAATATATATATATATATATATATATATATATATATATATATATATATGGTTGGCGGCATCCGATTTCGGATTTGCCTGTCACTGTGGCAAGCCACAGGACGCCTGCGCCTACAGAGGGACCATGGATGGCTTGCGCTGCACCACCCACAGCTCCAATCACATACCCCATATCCAGTGTAAACCCGAAGGAATAAGACCGGGAGGCATGCGGATGGGAACCACGTTTCATCAACGGAGCCGGCCCACACTCCTTCACAGGCAAACACAAGCACACTGTATTTGGGAAATCAAACGCACACAAGGCGGTGGCTGGACCGTAGTCCGCTCCACGCTGACTGCATGGAACCACTCTTCGAGCCAAGCACGGCCATAAGAACTGTGCACCCCGTCCCCTCCAGCAACGACCAACTGTCTCCTGGAGCCAGTATGAACGATGTAGTGGGTAATAGACAGGTAGGCACCTTGTCGACATACACATCAAGCGCAACCATACCAGGGATATCAAACAACAGCAAATCACTTGAAACGACAAAATGAAATAAAATAAATCCAATAATGCATACAGATACGGTGGCACAACTCCTCGTTAAATTAGCATATGAAATAATTTGGTTAGCAATGAATCCGCGATAAGGAAAAAGAATGTGCACAGGTTACTCAAAAATGCTACAAACGCAACAAAATTACCGAAGATAAGCGTAATTAGCGTAAACAACGTGACCAGCTAATAGAAGACTATCCAGATATGCAAAACAAACCAGATGAACTGGAATGAAATTTATGCATATGAAATTTACATACATATATATATATATATGACTAGATAAAACTAGCCCGTTGGGAGAGTGGGATTTTTGTTTTATAGGGTAGATCAGTCTCTAAATTTTCGTTGTGCTATAATTTGCTTTAAAGTAGTTCATTGGACAACAGCTCCACCTTTCTGATTATTTGATTTCACAAAAATTTAATTTATCCACACTACTTTAACGACTCAAATGATAAAGGAGCTATAATAAAATACAAAAAATACAAAAATAAGGATTCGTTAGCTTTTTATATGATTTTCGTTCCCGTTCTAGAATGGGGAAGGTGATTAAATAGTGTTAATGACGAAGGGCGGAGCTTCCAGAGAAAGTGGAAACTGGAGTATTTTTTCACTGAACGACTGAACAAGTGTGTGTGCTAGATTTGTTTGGAGAGTGTGGCTGTTTCCAAAGAATTCACCAAGAAGAGGCACTACCATTCTAAGCATGCTATGACAAGTTGACTGAAAATGAACAAGTTGATAAAATTGAAGCAACTGAAAGCTGTAATAACCTAAGAGCAAAGCTGGTTTGCAAGTATCGATCAGTCAAATGAAAATGCGACAAAGGTAAGTTATGAAGTGGCGAAACACTGCAAACAATTAACTAAAGGTAAATTTGTCGAAGAATGTATGATGAAAAGTGTGGAAAATATCTGTCCTGAGAAAAAGCAAGAGTTTGCCAATGTTTGCCTGGCAAGCAACACTGAAGACAGCGCCTCTGAAATTAGACAACTAGAAGTAAAAAGAGTAGAAGTTGACATTTCGATGGCATGTGATGAAAGTACCAATGCACCTGACACGGCTCAGCTTCTCCTTTTTTAAGTAGTTAACGATGACATGTGTGTAGAGTCTTAAGGATCAAACAAGAGGAACAGACTTATTTGTTTCTGCATCTTCCGCATTCAATGACATAAACTATCATGAAAAAATGCTCCGGAATTATTAGTGACGATGCTCCAACTATGACTGTCGAGCACAGTGGATTAGCAGCGTTTGTCTGTAACAAAGTCAGCGAAGAGGGGGCAAAGCCAGTAAACTACACTGAATCATTCACCAACAAGTTACTCGTGCCAAACATCTTAAGTGTGATAATGCTATGAAGCTAGTGATAAAAGCTATAAACTATCCGCTCTAAAGCCCTGTTTCATCGTCAGTTTCAGCAGTTTCTACTCGAGATCCAGGGTAAATACGGAGATGTGTAGCACGATGATGTAAGATGGCTCAGTCGAGAGACGGAACTTCATCGCTTTTATTCTCTTAGAAAAGAGGTTGGACAATTCATGGAAAATAAGGAACCATCGATGGCAGAAAGGCGTGATCCTGCTTGTCTGGCTGATTATGGACTTTTGTTGGTATTGCACGGCACCTGAACATGTTGAATACAAGTCTTCAGGGACAAAATGCAGTGGCAAGCCAATTGTATTCACATACCAAAGCCTTTAGGAATAAGCTGTAAATTTTCCAAACTGTCTCAAGCGCAGCCTCATACCACACATTTTGCATCACTACAGGAAATCATGACAAAACATGCAGAAAGCAGCATCAATGCACAAATACAGAAGTAGGTCACAGATACTATTTCTCTAGTTGATGAGTTTCAAAAGCGCTTTCAGGACTTTGCAACTATTGTAAGGAAGATCAGGCCTTTTTCCTCGTTTTTCTGTGTGGACCCTGACAATGGTCGGCCAGCTGCAACTGGAACTCATTGAGCTACGAAGTGAAATTGAATATCGCAGTCGGCACCAACAGCTCTCTCTCTCTCTCTCTCATCAATTTTACCACCAGCTGGATCAAGACAGATTCCAAGAAATTCGAACGTTAAGCTAAGAAAAAACTTTGTTTCGCTCGACATACGTGGGCAGACATTCTTAGTTTTTAATGTTGACAAGAGTAGTGTGAGGATGAGACTAAGTGATGTTCATCTATGTGGTATCTTGCGTATGAAAAACGGTGCCTTTGAGTCTGACCTGAACAGTCATTTTTGGCTATTATCTAAATTTCAGGCTGAATATGTCCCGACATATTTTTAAGTTATGAAATGTGGCCCTCCATGCGAAAAGTTTGGACACCCTTAGTGATGAAGGTGTTTGTCTTTACCTGAGTCAGTAAACGAATACTTGCAATCGGTTAGTGGGTGCCGGTGCAGTTGTGCGAGGTTATGCGATTAGCCACCAGTCTCAGTTCGCTGTCAGGTCCCTTAGGTCCTACCGATATGAACCCAATTGGACACTGAGAGTGGGGTACTACCGGTGGAAAACCTTTTGTTAGTCCCAACTAGGAATCGAAAAAAGAGGAGGTTTATCACAGGAATTACTGCGTATTCAACTCTCAGTGTATAGAATGCTAAGGGTAGATTGTTCAGGCAGAACCATTGCTTCATTGCTTTAGAGCCTTCTAAGGATAGGTGGTGGGCGGCGATCACTGGTTTGTGATAAATTCGCAAGCAAAGTGATGACAACCTGATGGACTAGGGTAGCCAGTCAGACCAATGTAGTTACTTTAAAAATAAGTGGATAGTATCTGCTGACCTGCTTTATTTCTTGCAAAAGCACTCCATCGGTCATAAATTTAATTTCCGTTTCTTGGGTCACATTATTTTCGTAACGGATATGATAGGAAACCCGGCTGAAACAAAAGTGAAGGAATGGTGTTGGAAATCGGATAGAGATGCAAAAATAGGTTTTTAACAGCCAGCACAAAAACAGTGGCATAGAAAGGCTACTGGAACGCAGAAACATCAAAGGAAGATAAGTTTAATAAGTATTTCTGAGCCTCAATGAGCTGTGTCCAACTTGAGCACAAGCTCACAACCCACACAAAATTAACCCGTTTTTGTGAACTAGATAATGTACTGCCTGTAGTTGCAAAACTCGGTGGAATCAACATCACCTCGTTAATATCAAATATGTCCAATTTATCCACGTACTCTAGTGGTGTACCAACACAATGAAAAGAATGCCTAACGAAAACAGTGGCCCAATGAGAATAGAACTACAGACCTGTTATATGTGTAACCTATGAAAACCGTTAAGACGACGACCAAGTGTGAGGAAAAACAAGTGAAGTATGTCACACAGAACTAAGGGTAATGAAGGCAGAAAAATGATCGCAAAAACAAAATCTTGTGAAAAACTACCCACTTCTGTCACAAAACGTTTAGAGGATAGGCATGGATGTGTAGTTGGAAAGCTTTAGAGGAAGTAAGGAAAGCGCCGAGTAAATAGGCAGAAAGGATATAGTAAATGCAATCCGCTACGTCAGATCTGTGTCCAAATACCGGTTACCAGATTGATGCTTGGTCAGCGTGAGAGCAAAGAAAAGCCGAATTAGAAAATGCGACAATTTGTGGCACAATTGGTGGACTCCCAAAAATACGATGAAAGTGGATACAATGAAGGTAGTAGGAAAAACTGTCCGGAAGCAAACCAACCTGGAAGGTAGATTCAATTCTTCACCCACGCGTTTGGACATTGATATGGCGGCGACTCTGCGTGGTTCCGTCACTCCTATCATGAAGCCATTCCTAGAGAACGAAGCAAGAAAAAAAATAAGATGCGTAAAGCGAACTGCGGGAGAAGTACGATCCAAATGAGTGTCAGCGATGATGGCCCGTGACGAGGCCAGCATCGTAGTCAGACTAGGTGACAGATTCGTTCCGATGAACTGATCGTACAAAGAAAGAAACCAACAAAGGTTTCAAACTACCCAGAATAGCATGCACAGAAGTCGCTTTCCAACATGATACACACTTCACACTGAAAATGAAGGCGAAAGTGTACTATGTGTAGCCCACAATAGCATCTTTCACCGGTGGAATTCAACGACAAATGGTACCCCAATGATCGCACGCAGAATACGTAAAAAATAATGTGTAAGTTGTAAGCTGTAACGGCGCTTCGCTGCCTCTCGACCACCACCAGTCGCGCGCGGGCTGAGTATAAAGCGTGGACGGCCGTCCCTACGCAGATTCTAACCGGTGACCTTATGACTGCAAGCCAGGCGTGCAGACCGATCGGTCATCGTCCGCATGCAGAATGCCAGTACACTGGCTCAAAAGAAATAGTACCATGGTTAAACGCATCTCTTCAACAGCGCAGGAGGTCAAGGCCTTGGAAATAGCGATGTATGGTGAGCAGCTCAGTGAAACAGCTAAACGCTACAATGTTAAGGTTAGCGCAGATAACTAAAATGATACTACAGCTAAATGTTTAGCAGAACACAAATATAGAAAATAGCATCGTTATCCATAGGCAAGATATACACAAAACACAATTTCGAAATATCGCAAGAGCATACACAATATACACGTTAGCTAGAGTTGCGAAACACTTCAGCTACTGTGCTGCAATATATAAAAGAAAATAGGGAAGGAAATGCAACAGGTGCAAACCAGCTGAGCTACCGGTAACGGATGGGCATCGTTCCGCTAAGCTACCTGCCGGCTACTATGCAGCAAAAAAATTATTATGCAAAATTATAAAATGCTAAATAATGAGATTGCGGTTGGAGGGGTAGGCTAAGAGGGATGGGGTTGGACAAAGAAACTCACAGCACCAATGCCACTGAGATCGGCTCCTAGCCATATCAACAACTGTATCCAGTCAAACGTGTTCAGCGTCTTGCGGACCCCAACCAAGAAGCAGATACGCTCCAACTGAGGCCAGCTTCCAAGTGACGGCCTTCATTCCTTTCGACCAAGTCATCGCTTGGCCACCCCTCCTCTTCTTCCATCCACACTCCCAGCGCGCAAACAACGCACGTCGCGGGAGTAGGTCGGTTGGCATGCGTAACATCTGGCTTGGCCATCGGAGCCTTGTGCGTGAAATGACGGTGCAGAGCAATGCATTTCCTTTTCCTGTGCCGTAAATAAGGTGTCGAACACACTCGTTGCTCACGCGGTGTTCCCACCATATGTGAGCTAAATTACGAAGGCACCGGTGGTCGAACGTAACTAGTCTCCTTATGTCCGCTGATCTAAGGGGCCAGGTTTCACAACCGTACAGTAGGGTCGAACGTACCGCTGCACTGTACACTCTACCCTTCAGGGCAAGAGTGATGTCGCGCCGCCGCCATAAGTGGCGAAGGTTAGCAAAAGCGCCCCGAGCTTTTCCTATACGGTTCGTGATCCCATCTTCAATCCCACGGGCGCTGATACAACTTCCTAGGCAGTTGATTTTTTGTACGACTTCTAGCTAGTATTGGTTAACAAGCTGAAGCTATTTTCTGTGTGCAATAGGGTGCCGTTGGAAATTCTGATCACTCAACAGTTAGCCTGTGTCCTGCTGTCTAGTCTCAAACAAACCATAAGAAGGCTACCCGTTGCAACGTCCGCCAGTTTAGGTGGAGGATTTGTTCCACGCAGAACATTGACCAACTATGAGAAATGATACCATTCGTCCACTTCAGTTTATTTTTTGACGCTGATGAATTCACGTATTGTCTGGACTTCTGTTTCGACATCTGCTGCCCATGTGCGGAAAGGTTTACTTCCCCTCACCTGAAGCAGAGGTAAAAAAACGATTCAGTAAAGTCTCTCCCTGTTCTTACTGAAGAGTTACGCAACCTCTACGACGTGTACGTTCAGACCATGCTCGGGATTAGTAGCTGCCGTGGACTATGGAGGATGTCGAAACAATTATGCGGGGTTAGTAAACTCTGACGACGTGAAAAATCTGAGCCATGACTTCGGCAATTGACACAACAATCCGATTTCTGACTCATCCCTTGCCCAGCCTAAATTGTTTGCAGTCTCAGCGCCCCTGCCCACAACTACCCTAAGGAAAAGCAAGCGGTCCGGACGAACTGTTTCCTGTTGTCCTCAGCGGATGTGCTGAACATTTTGGCCAAACCTCTAGCTACTCTATATCCATTGTGCAAAGAACAACATAAATATGTTGGCTGTTGAGGAAATGCCAGAATTACGATAATATCAAAGAAGGGGTCAAGCAAGTGCCGATCAATTGCTTGTACTTCGGCAGCCATAAAGGTGTTTGAACAAATTAATTTTAAGATGCTGACACAAAATGGCTAAACGATAATCTACGATTTGCACGCCGCAGTTTAAGGTCAGCACGAGAAGCAGCAGCCTGGCTTGTGCATTCGGTTCTGCCATCGACAGACAATAGAACCAAGCTCTCTCGGATCTGTTTTCTGGATTAAAGCAACACATTCGGCTGCGTAAACCGTGAATTGCAATAAAAAGGTCTACTTGGTGCTAGAATACACCCTCCTCTCGTCCTTTTGTTGAAAGATAACTTCGCCAATCGTATTCAGGCTACTCGACTTGCGAGCAGAAGCTTCCCGTATCTAACGACAAGCACTAGTGTTCCTCAGGGAACAAATCTATCGCCATTCCTATTTTCCACCAAAGTCAGCTCAATATCAGTCACGGCGGAGACGACCCTATTGAAGTACGCAGAAGACCTTGTTCTGAACATACATCAATCGTCCACTGCTTCTTCAGTCAGATTACAAGATATTGTGAACAATCACACATTTATGTCTAAAGCCCCAGGGCCGCCAATTGACGTGTCAAGCGAAATGATGTCTTTTTTCACTGCAAAGAGAAGATCAACATCAACAGATTCTCCAGCACTGCCCGTAACCACAGCAGTGGTGAAAGGCTGCAATCCTCCACATCAATGAAGTACCTAAGTGTCACATCTAACTATAAGTTCTCTTGGCCACACAACTCCGGAGATCATCGCTCCACGCCTCACGTACGCAAGCTTCTGTCCCCCATAATTCGACACTTCGCTTTGGCACTGCCTACGTTCATCCATACCGGACGTACTGCTCTCCAGTAGCTTTTCCTGGTCTATTAGGTAAGCACATCAGATTAATCTTCAGCCCGTTAAAACACCTGTCGCGATGTAGTGGTGTATGAAGGCTAAATTTGTTGACGTACTAGAGCATTTCCCGCAAAGTTGCATAAAATGTCCAAAATTTTGAAAAGGTCCAAAACTTTGCAATGGGAATAGCGGTCTACTTTGAGATTGCGCGTCGCAATCCATCCACACAACGTGTTCTTCAAATTCAATTTCCAAAGTCCATAATGTTGCAAAACCCTGTGAGATTCGCCAGCCGCTCAGAGCCAATCCTCTGACCTTAATTGTGTTCTCATTGGCCGGATGCCAAGGTTCGGTGCGTTAGTCTGGGGAGGTGAGCGCGCTGCTCGTTGACTGGGTGAGACTTGTGAATGAACCTTGGAGGAATGCACTTCGACGGTGCAACGGGCTTGTATGCGCCCCCCTCACGTCCGAAACGATGGATCACAGTTGGTCTGAGAGCAATGAACAGCTGGAACATAAGCGCACGACCGAAACCATGTCTATGATTCTAACGTCGTCGGCATGCGTTCTCACGTTCGACAGAGTATCTCATCAGATATTCGTGACCGAGTTTTGGGCGCTTTCGTCAACGGTGATGACTGGCAGCTTGTGGCAACTGTGAACAACGTCAAATATCAAACAGCCTACTCCTGGATTCGTCGTTCTCTTGATCAGGAACCGAGTACTACGCAGGCGCGCGGTCGTAAACGGATTTTGTCGGAGGAAGACCTAGATGACATCCTGGATTGGATCGCAAGGGACTCAACTCTTACGCTACGGGAAATGCGAGTACGAGTACGAGCAGAAATGGACAAGGACATTTCGAAGTCAACAATTGCACGGCACCTAAATGGTCGATTGATAACTATGAAGAACATCTATCAGGTTCCCGAGGGAATGAACAATGAGCGAAACAAAGGAATACGCAGGGAATTCGTTCAGCAGTTTCTCCAATTTGAGAGCGATGGCAAGTTCTTCATTTGGATTGACGAAGCGAACTTCAACGTTTACTGCAAACGTACTCGTGGTCGGGCGCCCAGAAGAGTGAGGGCCTGTTGCAAAGTTGCCAACAGCAGAGGGCACAAATTACATTTAATCGGTGCACTCACGATGGAAGGGAAAGTGTCGATGACAACCCGGAGAGGCTCATTCACAGGTTCCCTATCTCTCGAATGGCTGCGAAGCTATTTAGACAACCTGAAACAGGAGATGGAGCTCCGGCAGGTTGTCGTGGTATGTGATAATGCACCATGTCATACACGACTGGAAGAACTTTCGTCAGTAGATGGATCCGATAGAGTAACCATACTGAGATTGCACCCATACTCTCCGTTCCTCAATCCGATCGAGAATGTTTGGCAGGTGGTGAAGGCCAGAGTGAAGAATGAGATGAGAGTGCACTACGAGGAACTTCTGGCCGGGGATCCCCAGAAACTCATGACGCAGATGGAATGGAGGCTGCAGTTCCTTGAACGCATTGCCGAAGCAGCCACCAAGGATATCAGCGTTGTGGGATGTCGTAATGCTATTCGACATATGCGTGTACATTTTACTAATTGTCTAGAAAAAATGACATATTTTGATCACTTTGCTGACCTATTTTTCACGTATCGGTTTGTATGGCAGGTTACTGGCAGCGCGTAGGGACGTGTGAGTATTCCCAGTGTTTTCAAAATATGTTTGCACGTACGTA